GGGCCGGGGGGGGGGGGAGAGTTTTGAGGAAAGCAGAGCTCACGAGTGATGCGTCAGGGAGAAGGGCTGTCACGTGCTCAGGTGGGTCAGAGCTGGAGCACACGAGGCTGAGGGGCGCCTTGGGCAGCAAGGGTCCTGGACTGAGGCTGCGATGGCCCAAAGGAGAGGCCGACGCAGCAGAACAAGTGATGAGAACAAAGAACTCGAGAACAGTGACTGGTTGGGAAACAGAATCCTCACATCCGGTTTCAGTTTAAACACATGGAACGGTCAGTCCCAGGGAAGAGCCTGCACTGTCTCCCGCTTGGGCCACTGCAGGGACTGACCTGCCGCTCCTGTCACCCAGTCCAGCCTCCACAATTCAGCTGGAACAGGAATCAGATCCGGCGACTTCCTGGCTTGAAGCTCTCTGATGGCGCCCTAGCCAGTTTGACTCAGAGGACAGAGCAATGGCCAGTGGACTGAAGGGTCCCAGGTTCGATTCCCGTCAAGGGCACGCACCTGGGTTGCAGGTTTGATCCCCAGCCCTGGTCAGGGCGTATGTGGGAGGCAACCAATCGATGTGTCTCGTTCACACTGATGTTTCACTCTGTCTCTTCCCCTCCCTTCCACTCTCTCTAAAAATCAATGGAAAAATACCCTCAGGTGAGGATCAACAACAACTAATTCTCTGACAGCTTCAGCTCAAGGCCAAACTCTTCCCAGTGGTTAGAAGGCCCTGTACAGCCCGGCCCTTGCCACCCCTGAGCCACACTACACCTGTGGTCTAGCCACCCCTGAGCCACACTACACCTGTGGTCTAGCCACCCTGGCTGTGGGTCCTCAGCGGGCCGAGCTCCTTCTCACCACCAGCCTGTTCTCTTGCCATTCTTTCCGCCCAGACAACGCTGCACACTCTTGGCCCAGTTAATCCCTCCTCATCCCCCAAATCTCACGAGTGTCACTCCCTCGAGGAGCTCCGTCCAGACCCCCAGTGGACCGTTGCCCCCCTTGCTGTCCCCCTCTCTCTCTGTCGTGGCCCTTCCTACATCCTAGCTTAGGTCCTCAGTGACTAGCTCCTCCGCTGGCCCATGAGCGTCCAGGCACCGTGCCTGTCTAGTCCACCACCCGACCCCAGTGCTGGGAACAGAGCCTGGCTCCCGAAAGGGGCCCGGCACATTCTTTTTTATGTAATAAATAACGTACTGAGTACCTGGGCGGCACAAGAGCCAATGAAAAGGACACAGAAGCAATGGTCGGGAGTGAGAGAGAAGCTGAGAAAGGTGTCAAGGAGGCCAAGAAAGGAGACAATTCAACAGGTCAGTGCTGGTCTCCAAACACTGGCACAGGGTTCGCAGAAGGGTGGGCGGGTCCGTTGGAACTATTGTTAATTCCGCATTTCTCTTTAAGCTGCTGATTGCTCTTTCACAGAAACTGTGAGCTATACAAATGGTGCCACAGTGAAGGTGTGACAGGGTACACAATACCTGTGAAAAATGGAACACACTTCAGCCATTGACACCAGAGATAGTGTCACTTGATAATATGTGATAAACTGGGCTCTTGTCCAGAGATGAAAAGGGAAACCACGAGAGCAATGCCCAGTAAGACTCTTACATTTCAAACCCTTTCAGAACAAACAGGGGCCTCTGGGGAGGAGGTTCTCAATAGATTTAAGCAAAGCGCTGTGCACAGAGGGCCAGCAGAGGAAGTCATTCTGAGATGGCAAGTGACAGTGATAAGCAAAAGCCAGTTGTGGCCTTTGGATTCTGTTGGACAAAGAGCAGGTGTTGACACACCTTATCGCCGCGGTCCTCTCTCTGTAAGGAGTGTGGCTTTCCTGGAATGTGACCACGGCTCTGGCACCTTTCCTGAATGGAGGCTCTCTCCTCTAAAGCATTTCACAGAGGAGCCCGGGCCTTCTGGAAGCCGGGAGAGCTCAGCCATGCTGTGGGGGGACATTCACATGCCAGTCTGCGCTGGCTGCCATGGGCGGAGGGGCGGGGGTGCAAGGGGGTCGCCTCACTGAGTTCTCAGCAGCAGAGGACTCTCATCTGTTCCAGGGGAGGAAGAGGGGGTTCTGGGAGGTGGCTCTCCTCCGAAAGGCCCTATAGCAGGGGTGGGGAACGTCCGGCCCCTGGGCCACGTAAGGTCGGTGAAATCATTTGGTCTGGCCCTGCCAAGGCATTAGGGGTGAGTTAAATGTTTGACCAAATCCAGCAGCTAATGTTTAAGTTGATAATGTTGTATGGCCCGAGAACGATGTGATAAATATCCACATGGCCCTGGGCAGAAGAAAGGCTCCCACCCTGCCCAACAGCAAGAGGAAGAGCTGGACTGAACCCGGTGGGACTGACCCTGGGCCACGCTCTCGCCCTTTCCCTGCATCGGGGGCCTGTGCGGGGGACCCTGTCTCCCACAGTGTGGGGTTGATCAGGGAGAGGCCCAGACTTCTTGGGGCTGCAAAACTGGTACAAAGAGGTTCTTCTTTCTTGCCTTCTTCTCTTTTCTTTCTCCTCCCTTCCTTCCTGTATCTTTCTATGGTGAAAAAATTTAAACAGATACAAAAGGAGACAGAGTATAATGAGCTGTGATGACCGCAGCGCTCAGCTTTAACAAAGACCCATTCACGGCCCGTCTGTGGACACCTCACCCGCTGCCTGCCCGTGCGTTCTTCTGCAGCACATCCCAGAGCCACTCCTGGTAAACACGTCAGTAAGTACCACTAAGAAGGCATCATGAAAAAGAAAACGCCGCCGCCACGCAGTGCGGGGCTCACAATTTCTTAGAGGCAGGAGGTGTCCAGTGGGAGGGCCAGAGCGCCCGCGGTGCCAGGAGAACCTGCTGGCATCCATCACCTGGGAGAGCGCACTTCCTTCTCCGGCCTCCGAGGAATGCTTCAACCTCGGGGGCTGGTCCTCCATCCCAGCCAAGGAAATGGCTGACATTTCAGGACGAGGAAAGACAGTCGAACATCTGGGAAGCTGCCAACTTCTCAGACAATGGACGCTCTCTGCCCCAGCCCCGCGCAGGAACACCTGGCGAGCTCCTGACAGCGGATCACTTCCTCCGCTTCACTCGGCCCCGCGGGCGGCACGGCGGCAGGCACCTGGCGCGGCAGGCTTTCCTTCCCAGCACCAGCGCCAGCGGATCACCTCCGCTTCACTCGGCCCCGCGGGCGGCACGGCGGCAGGCACCTGGCGCGGCAGGCTTTCCTTCCCAGCACCAGCGCCCCTCTCGGGCGGGCATGGGGAGCCGCTTACGGGGGCGGACAGAACTGTTTCCTTCGGTCAGTTTACCAGATGAGTATTACTCAACCACTTATAATATTTACAAGTCCAGCCCAGAGCAATTAAAGAAAGATGTAAGAAAATAAACTCCTTTCCAAACAGGGAAAGGACATGAAACACAGTCTCTCAGGAACAGGGTTGTGTTTTCTGAAGGTTGTTCCTCTGGATTAATGGTCCCTATTTCTTCCCAGGGAAACACTGGACCCTGAAAATTATGGAGGCTGTGCTGCCAACACCTCTGCCTCAGCTGAGCGTAGGTAACAGCTCCGCGCTCACTAACAAGGAAGAGAAGAGGGGAGGGGGGGGCGGGGGGGAAGGAGAGGGAGAGAGAGAGGGGTAGAGAGAGACACCTCCATACTGGACACTTCTCCCTTTAGCTGTAGGAAACGTGGGAGATAAGGATGGTGGGAGAGGAGGGGGCCGGAGGGGGAGGGGTGGCGGCAGGGGATATGGAGGGCAAGTTTATCTGGAAGTCTTTTTACCTGGTTTTGTTTATCACAAGGAAAGTCATGCTGGTCGCCTGCTGTTGGTTGTTTTGAACCAAAATACATACTCCCCTGCTGTCTGCTGGCTCTCCCCAGTGGAGCCGTCAGGGCCGACAGACGACTCTCACACACTGGTAACCCCCAGACCCACGGGGGGGGCATTGCTGCAAGGATCCTGCAGGTGTCTGCCCAGCTGTGCCCGCCGCTAGGTGACATTTGCTTAAGTATTAGCTGTCAGATGCTTGCAGCAGACTCCCGAGTTAAGGTGGGGAATACGCAGGAGAAGACAAAACTGGAATATTTGTTTTCAAAAGTTCATGTAAATGTTCCCTTTAATCCCATTACTGGGCAAATAAGCTAAGAGAAGAGCAGACGCCTGCAGAGGTGAACATATTGACATTCTGACTTTCAGTTGAATGCCTGGAGGCCTGTGGCCACCCTCGAGATCCCCCTTGGCCTAGGCTGCCCGCTCGGAGCTGTTTGCTTTGCCGGTTGCCGCCGGTGTGGGCACCTGCCACCTACCTCCAGCGCCTACAAGCTCAGCTGCGCTGGGAAACCGCCATGGGCCTTGGGTTTGCCCAGAATGGGTGGCGGGTGGCAGGCCCCGAGTTGTCCGTGGACTGTCACAACAGGTCCCACATGTTCATTTCCCACCATAGAGCTTCCAGGAGACACGGTGACCAGTCCTCCCTGACTTGCTGAGTCGGCTCTGTTCTTACCTGGCCCTCGCCCACCCCTGCAGGCTTGCCCTCTCTGTTGGTGGTAACCCTCCCTTGCACTCAGCTCAGAGGCGCCCATCTCCTCTGCTGACCTCACATCCTCTTTCCCCTCTGCTTCTCCTCATCACTCTCCCCCCCCCCCCCCCCCCCCCCCAGCCCCAGGGCCAAGGCACTGCACTCAGCTCAGCTCCCACTCCTCCGGGGAGACCCTGGGCCCGGCGGGCGTGGCCCCTGGAGTCAGGTAAGGGCAGCCAGGCTGTTGCCCTTCCCCGCCGCCCTCCATCTTTGCACTCAGATTATCGCTCAGGTCTCTTTCCTTAGGTCTCGAATCTCCAGGGACAGGTCATGTGGTAGAAGGGACACCGGTTTTAGGAGTCAGGGGACCTGGCTTCGGACCTGCCACTTTCTGGCTATAAGATGCTGGGGATGTTCCTTTACTCTGAGTTCCGGCATCTGGAAAACAGCCGAGAATGCTGCTTCCCTAGGTTGGTGTGAGGGTCAACAAGATGAAGCACGAAACTTCTAGACCCGAGTTGGCACGCCACCAACGGGAGCTCTGGTGACAACAATCATTGCTTGTATAACCCACTGCCCGAGAATGGCGCCTTGTGTACGGCAGAAGCTCCCTGAATGGCCTGGGAGAGCGCCGGCCTCTCGGTTTAACAACAGAAATAAAATGTCATTCATTCCAAAAGGAAGAGGAACGGAAGCAGAGGAGCACCTGGGTGGCACCTGGGTAGGAACAGAGTCCGATTCCAGCCGAGCCTGGCGGGGTGACGGCGTCCAGGAAAGGTAGGCAGTTCGGGTGGGATATCTGGCAGATCCGTGTCGGGCACTGGCCACGGGAAGGAGAGCTGTGCTGGCTGGGCCGCTGGCTGAAGTCAGGCACCGGAGCCCGGCCCAGTGGGCGCCAGATGCACAGGGCTGTGAAAACCGCCCCAGGAGGGCTGCTGGGAGGGGAGGGCAGGGCAGGGGCAGCGAGAAGAAGGTCAGAGCGAACCCAAGGGGTAGAAGATCGCAGGAAGCTCGAGGGAGGGCGGCAGTTATGCCCAGCACCACACCCTGCTGAGCTGCATGGAGAATGGACGGAGAGGGGCTCAGGGCCCGGGAGCCAGGCAGGTTAGCTATGATGGCACAAGTAATAATGACAATGACAACAAAAATAGTAACAGGAAGAAAAGAAGTGAAAAAAAATAGGAGCTACTGTTATGCCGTGAGGTGCGTGTGCACAGAGCCCTCCAGTGCTTAGATTCCTACTATTCTCACCGTACGGCAGCGGGGCTGCTAAACAAAGCTCCCCTCGACTTACAGGAGGAGACAGGCTCAGAGGCTGGTCACGCCACCTGCCCCGAGAGCCGCTGGAGCAGGGCCGACGGCAGGGCAGGACGGGCTTGGGCGCATGGCCAGTTCTCCGGGCAGAGTCAGGTGCAGCTGGAACCAGCCTGCAGCCAGGGCGCAGGGTGGGAGGGGACGAGGGAGGC